TTCATACGTACCAGCGTGCGTGCATACGTGCGTGCATACGTGCGTGCGTGCGTGCATACGTGCGTGCGTGCATATGTGTGTGCATACGTGCGTGCGTGCGTGCATACGTGCGTGCATACGTGCGTGCATACGTGCGTGCGTGCGTGCGTACATACGTGCGTGCGTGCATACGTGCGTGCGAGCACGCGTGCGCACGACTGCATGTATGCGTGCACGTACGTGTGTATTTTGCAATAATTCATTCATTATACTAAGCACGAACAAACTTTCATTTGATTTTCGTCATTAAAACTTATTGAGAACGAAGATTTTATTACTGGGCAAATTGATTTCTGTAAAATAATCTCATATAGGTCAAGATAATCAAGTAAATATAATATGTCGCGTTTTAGTTGGTCGCTTTAGTTAGTTTCGTCGCGTAATAGTTAGATACTATTAACCTGTTATAACTATGTTTAGGTCGTTCCTTCCTGTTGATTGTCCACCGAAACCTCACACGCTTATGTGAAGATTCGCTCAAAATATTGACTACAATAATGTAGACAGTGTGCGCGCCCACCCCAACCCAAACGCTGACATGAAGCAAAGCCAGACGAGTCAGTATCAGGTTCGAATACATTAAGTAGGTGTAATGAATCTGCAATAACAAGGTCAATACAAACGGCAGGACTTCACAGAGGTCAATGTCACTTGTGACGATGTTGGTTGTTTGTAGCCCGTTATATGTGGAACATTCGAAGCCAGACCTACGCGGGTAGTAAGCAAGGTTATATAGGTGGTACGTATATAACCGCCCAGCTACCTGTCAAGCGTTCACAGTCGGTATCTGAAGTCGTGCAGGGTGTTACACGCTAGCTCCTATATCATCGAACGGTGGTATAGCTTTCAACCACAGAAAGTCGTACGCATAGCCGCGTTACCGGATTGATAGACAACGATGCTTTATGCAAGGTATGTTCAGCCCAGCGTAGTTCTATTTGTTGAGTGTCTAACTTATTGTAAATTGTAAGACCTCTGATTACGTTGCAATGTCGTTCTGTGTTATAAACTGGGCGACGTCGTGAGTTGTTATTGAATTAACGTATGTGATTAATATGTGTTAAATCATCAAGTGCTGTAGAATATATGCAAAAAATGTTGTGGTAACATCCATTTGAAGTCGTTTAACGCGCAGTCACTAGTGTTGATTTATATTGATAGGTTCGTGGCATTTGCCCTGCTATGGTGCAGTATGAAAGCAGAGATTACCCCAGTTGAGGTATCCGTAGAAAAACTCGCCCAACTGGCAGATGGAGTTGACAGCATTGCCAAGAGATCAGTGGGAGAATACGGTAAGTGTAGGAGCACAGCAGTGGTTGGGTGATGGTTATAGCACTCGTGAGATTGGTCCAGCTGCCGTGAGTACCTACTGGAACAAAGTGAATGCTGTCGTTGGAAGATAAGGAAAAATTCACTACTATGTATCATGTAGTATGTATTATGTAGTATGTATTATGTTGCATATATTGCAAATTTCAAATTGCACGTTGCAGGCCCGTAGCCAGCTTTATATTGGGGGGGGGGGCGGGGGGGGTTCGTTTTCAATGTTGGCAATTTGCTCGGCAGGGACGTCTACAGGATTTGTACCAGGGTGGGTGTAATCCGTAACCCAAAGTTGCGAGCTACGGCGAAGGGGGGGTCTGGGGTTGTTTTTAAAATTAGACCCTCTCAGATGCGTTTTCTGCGCGAGCAAGGGGGGGTCCGGACTCCCGTGACCACCCTGTACATGCGCCCTGTTGGGCGCGAAAGCGACACCAGGCGAGGGAGCAACCGACCGAGCGGGGGAGGGTGTGGGGGGGGTGTTCACTGTTCACCCTCCCGCAGATGGAGATTTGCAATTATTTACACTAAAATGGAGCGACCTGAGGTGAAATTCTTAAAAATTAAAAAAAAAAAAATTTTTTGGCTTGGGGAGGGGGCTCGGGGGGGGGGGTTCGTTCGAACCCCCCGAACCCCCCATGGCTACGAGCCTGCGTTGCACATACCTTCCCTACCAAGTGTACAGTTTCGTTGGTATAGTTTACATTGATATTATTTTTATGTTTTCCATCGATTGTTAATGCACCCAATATTCTATAGATGCAGAAATCAAGCAGATAAATGCCTTCAAACGGAGTGTCAATGATATGCTACATGATCAGCTTTCTCTGCACAAGAGGGCAATCGGACACTTGGAGGAGGTCGACGATGACGATGATAAAAAAATTGGACATAAAATAGTTAAAAGAGATGTTCCGTCGTCGATGTACAGGGATGTCAGTGGTTAGTGTTATCAGTTTTAATATAACGTTTGTAAGTTAAGTTAAGTCCGTTTCTGTAACCCTGAGGCCCCGCAGCTGCTTTCACAGTAAATGCTACAGTAGGGGGTTAGTCCACTGGTAGCACAGCAACGTTTGTAAGGAACCTGTGATATCACCGTGAGTATTATCATAAGTAATACATATACGTACATACGCACACCATCTGCATCGTTTACTTTTATCATAGGTTACCTGCAGCTACAAAACATTGAGATTAGTGAGACAATGTCCGCCGCTGACATAACGGATATTGAGCCGCTGAGTGGAGTGGACGTTGTTTCATCCAACGGTGTAGTTGACGTGGGAGACTTCACTATTCATGGCTGCATCTTGGACAATCTAAGCAAGGTCCTGGTCGACGTTCACAACAATGCTGATGACATCGAACCATTTAACATCTCAGGCCAAGTATATGTAGCTGTAGCTAAGAATGGTAAGTTGCATTTTGCTGCGTTAATAACTGCAATTAATTCTGCAATTTTTGCATGAAACTGTAACAATTTACTTTGTTAGTAACAGTAATTAATTCAGCAATTTTCTGATGAAACCATAACAATTAATTGCTTGTGCATCGTATCTTTAGATGCCACGGGATCACCGATATACACATATGTGGACAGCGAGTGGTCGGTAGTGCAGCGTCTTCGACAAGTCGAGACATCACAGATACAGTCATTCATGTTCCAAGACGTGCCACATCTGGCTGTGGCGACATATGCTGCTGAAATCAATGGTGATCTAGAGGTCGAAGCTTACAGCTTCATATACCGGTGGGAAGGCAAGTTACTACGGGATACAATTGACTAATGTTGTGGATAGATACCAAGTGTTTCTTATAACAACAGTTACTAAAATGTCTGTAATTCAAACACAAATTCTGTATATATAATGGTTATTAAATATATATATATATAGATATATGTATTATATATATATTTATTTATATCATTTTAGGTGTTGCATTCAGCAGTGCCTATAGGATAAAGACCTCCGGTGCAAGAGACATTGAACCTTTCACAATCTATGACAAGCAATATTTGGCTGTTGCAAATCATGTGGACGATGGAGGAAACGTAGCTATAGAGTCTGAGATCTTCGTCTATGATCCACATGAGCAGGATTTCACCAGCTTTCAGATGCTGCCGACTTACGCTGCCTCCGACATTGAATTCTTCCACATTGAAATAAATGGGAAGAAGGAATTCTTCCTGGCCGTTGCTAATGAGATGGAAATCATTAGTAAGTTGTCAGATATAGATTATACATGTATACATATATACATATATACATACATGTATATACACATATAGATGTATCTATCACTTTTCTTTACAGACGGAGTTGAAAGTCCGGCTACATCAGTAGTTTACAAGTATGTGGACTACATGTTCATTCCATTCCAAGGCTTCAGTTTGACTAGGGCAGTGAAAGTTAAAGCTTTGCTAACTGACACTAACACTATTCTTCTGGCTTTTGCGGACCGGATCGAGGGCTTGAGACTGTACGAATATAATGGATGGAGATTCACTCTGACCCCACAGCAGGTGACTTATATTATTTTTATTCATGATTCTATCTAATTTTCTGATTTTTTGATCTAATAATTCTGATTTTTTTCTCCATTATTGTACAATTATGGGATATTGTCCATTTAGTTATATTAACGGAGAGAGAGAACTCTGACAGTTATCGTTATACTGTATATTTTCAGTCGGAGATACCACCTACAAACACTGAGCTGGTTAACATAGCCCCAATCGCTGTGTTTGCTGATCCTGCAGAAGTTTACATGGCTGGTGTGTATCGAGACACTACACACAGCGGCGGTCTGTCACACACCTTTAAATTAAGCTTCAACAGGACCTCACCGATCGAGGATATGTACGACACCTATCAAACAAGGTAGGCCTCCTTATATAGTTTACGTTGAATTGTCGTAGTTACATGGGTTCATTCACTGAATTGGCAGTGGTTGTATTCATACGCATTTGATTCTCTACCCAGATGTGGTAATCTACAGACAACGTGGGATGCTATCGACATGGCTTACAAGGATCTGGAGAGTGACCTCAATACGACGAATCTTGCACTGCTCACTGATGATCCAATAGTTTTTACTGGTAGCCTTACATTTCAAGGTACACGTAGTCAGTGATAACTGTATAAATAATTTGTAATAATGACTGGATCGACATTTAGGGAACTCATGTGTACATTTAGTATATAAATTATGTACGAATTTTATTTCCAGGCGACGTAGTGATCAACGAAGGTGGAATAGTAAGTTCGCCAGTGATAGAATCTGATGTACTGCATTTCAACGAGGACGAATTCGATAGCTTCACTGGCATAATGGATGACATCATTGCCGAGAACAGCAACTGTGAAGCAGTTGATGCAGTCAAGAATAGAAGTCTGAGAACTGATTCGACCTCACAGATTGTCGCTGGTAATTACAAATTACAAAATGGTGTCAATATAATGCTGAAATTGTTATTGTGAATGGGATAACAAGCTATTTAAACCGTTTCCTTGTTGCTCTTTAGGTACAGTACAGTTTCAAGCTGTTACCATGAATGCAGGAGTTTCTGTGCAAGGTGACATTTATGCCCCAGCCATCAATACTGATGTTGACATCGAGCGTCTTGGTGAAATTGCTGTGTATGCTACAGGAGTTGAACAGCAGGTATGTTGTTGCTTTTAATTTTACTTCCCATTTTACTGTGAAATCCATGTAATTTTACGTTTATATATATGCCTGTACTCACTGGTGCATTCATGATCGCAGGACTTCAACATGGACATGAACTTCAGCGATATCCAGTTTGACGCTGCTGTTACTGCCTCTGGAACACTGGATACTATTGCACAAGACAGAATCGCATGGATCGATGGTTCAGTGATAGATATTACAGCAGATAAAACATTCCAAGAAGAGCTTGATTTTGGTAAGATAATTTAAAAAAATTTTATGGTAAGCTCAATATAATGTATAATCTTTATTAGAAATTGCCCAAATATTGTTAGCATACTTATAACTTAATGTTGTAACGTGTATTGTAGGAGGTGGGCTCACCGTGAATGGAACTGTAGATAGCAGAATGATCTCTTCCAACGATATTCTGATGACCTCCGGAGAGCAAGATGTTACTGGTAATTTTGCACTAGTTTTTCTTATGTACTTGGTGTTAATGGGTGATTTGGGATAACATAGATTGTACAGATTGTATGATTCACATCATTCGACTTTAACATTGGACTTTTAATACAGGTGAACTGGAATTTATTGACACCACCCTAACTGCTACTGCAATGACAGTTGACGGGACCGTTGATGGTGTGGACGTCACAGACTTGATAACCGACGCAGTGTATTACAATGTCCCTTCAACAATCACAGGTAAGCAAGCGTACAGCTATATAAAATCATTCATACTGTTCTGCACAAATAGTGCAGATGTTGATTTCCATCATATTTTCCAGGTTATAAAACGTTTAGCAATGCAGCGACACTCACCAATCTTGAGGTTCCTCTGCCAGGCCTGATAGATGGAGTTGATATCGTTGACCTTGACTCTAATGCGTTTCGTCTTGGTGGACAGCAAAGTATCACAGGTACAGTACGGCAATGGTGGTACGGCAGTGGTGGCTTTCGTCTTGGTAGATAGCAAATTGTTATTAAAGGTCAATACGGTAATGGTAGTACTGTAATGATTTTGGCATCATTTTTAGACACTGCATGCATGGTTTTCTGAAGTACTGTTGCTTGGTATTTTGCAGTGCCTATGGACTTTAGTGACATCGACCTGGATTCAGGTTTAACCTTGGCAAGTGGTTACACCCTAGCCGGTCTTGATCCAGCACACGTTGTATTGTTAAACTCAACCCTGCAAACAATAACTGGCGCAAAGACTTTCAACGCATCCCAGCAATTTGGTGTGCTTAACATGGTGGCTGGGAAGTCGATCGATGGCATCGATATCCTTGACACTAACAGTAAGTATACGTTTTCAATAAACATATGGAAACAATTGTGATATGCCTCCTCAACGCTGCAACAGTTGCATATTTTTGTTTTTCTTTCCTTTTCCTGTAGAACCAGACCTTCTGCTGTCCGGTGAAGCTCAGTCAGTTTCTGGAAGCAAGACATTCTCTAGTGACCTTCATATTGGCAGCTCGACAGCAGGAACTGTCAATGATATAAATCTTCAACAAATGAGCAGCTCTGCTCTTAAAACAACCGGCAATCAGATAGTTACAGGTATGTATACACAGGGGCAATGGCAGCGGTGATGTTGATACGGGATTGTAGATACTTTTTATCATGAACTGATACTGTTTGATACTGCTCAAGATCTATAGGCAAGCATGAGCTGACATAACGATTTTGTTGTTTTATACAGGAGTGAAGACCTTTAGTAATGTGACATTCAGTTCCCCAATCACTGTTGGTGGCAAGGTTGATGGTGTTAGCCTGTCATTGTGGTCGAGTACCTCCATTTCTCTAAGTTCGACCAGCATCAGTGTTGCACTCACATTTACTCAAGACATGCTGACGGTAAGTACATTGTAAAAGTCGAGACGGAGTTATTTTGCTTTAACCTGGTAATTAATCTGATGAGGCAATGGAAATAACATTGATATAATCGTTGAAATAACGTTGATACAATACTTGACAGTTGGCTGGAAACCTTCAAGTGACAGGAGACGTGAATGGTGTTAGTGTGCCCCAAAGCTTCTTGAGAACTGAACCACTCTATAATACCCAAGTGTCCGGCCTGAAGGACTTCACTAATGGTATCTGGCTCAACAACAATCTCAGGGTTACTGGAACTGTCGGTGACATAGATCTGTCACAATTCGTCGCAGATTCACTTCTAAAGGACACAGCAATGGTAAATGCACCCATTTGTCTTCTGTAATTATGTTTTGAAATTACTTTTTGATGATACAGTAATACCACATTAAGAATGGATAGTTTCATTAAATTCATTTCTCACTCCAGGTTGTTATGGGAAAAAAGACATTCACAGAGAGTACCACATTCGGCAACTTGACGGTCACTGGTGCGGTCAACGCCTTGACCGTGCCAGCACACGTGGTGCAGCTATCCACAAACGAGTTCATCGCAAGTGCATTCGTCTTCAACGACATGGTTGCAGAAGCAGGCTTGACCGTCAGCACATTGACTCTCGGTGGTCTGCTAAACGGAGAGGACCCAATGACCTTGAAAACTGACACGTTATACCCGGTTCCGCCCATCGGTAAGCATGAATGGTTTCATGATTGGTTTCATACTTGCAGTACTCACACATGGTGCAAATTCCTTTGGAAGCATGTATGTTTTCGTACCTTTAATATGTCATACTTGAAGCACTAACGCCTGGTGCAAATACCTTCTGGTTTTCACAGCTGGTACCACGCAAATTGTGACTGGAGCAAAGGTTATTGCGCAAAATGTGCTGTTCAGTGGTGCCGTCACATGCAATCTAGTTGACGGAGTAGACCTAGTTGTGCTGGAAGCAGATGCAGTACTTAAGAATCAGGATTCGACGATCACTGGTGAGAAAACCTTAAACGGAGAAACAACCATCGTATCCTGGACTTCCACGGGTAAGTACAACATGCTAGCTTGTAGCACTATGTGATATGTGAACAGTACTAGCTATATGTGATAATATGTGATAGTAAGGCATAACCTTTGAGCGACCACCCCGGTTGAATTGCTAGACTATTTTTTTATAGCTGGAAACAGAAATGTTGTGCACGAAAGTGAGGATTCCAGAATGCATCTTAATTAGCCAAATTTCTGATAGGCCCCCCAAATTTCTTTCGCACCACTCATAACATCGCCCACCAGCGGTGGTCGTATTAATACTTGTATTTCACTTAGTGTATCGTACATGACCACCATTATTACGTATTAATAGCAAGTTTCTGTACTGTCTCAGGTCTTGTCGACGGTGAATACATCACGGATTGGGATAGTCTGGTTGTGCAGCAAGGCAGAGAGCAGACTGTAAGTGGAGCAACCACGTTTGAGAACCACGTCACCGCTCCCAACGTGGTCACATCTGATGGCACGATAAATGGTGTCGATGTCCGAACCTTGAATGTGGAGGCTGTGAGACGCATGGGTAAATGCAAACAATATATACATGTAGAATATTAAAAAGATAGCAGGATGAAAAGTGATCAGCACAAAACTAAACAATTCAGTAATTAGAACCTTGCCTTGTTTTCTTCAGGTACTTCCATCATCATTGGTCCAGTTACATTCCTTAACCTGACTGCCACGGATGTCACACTAGTTGCATCTAAAACTGTCGATACCGTTGACCTGAGTGAGGAGAACGTTGATACAACAATTGCTGTGAGTATTCTGTAATGTTATCTAACTTGTATTTCCTAACTTCCTTCACATGGTGATAAGGTGGTAATTTTATCGACATTTTATCAACTAGGTTACCATCACCGGACTAAAAACCTTCACTGCAAATCAGACCGTGGGAAACCTCACAGTAACTGGATATGTGGATGGAGTGAACATTGCACAGCTCTACGAGGATGCGGCTAGAACACAGGGCGCCACATTATTAGCACATACACTCTTCACTGGTATGAATTTGCTTACGAAGTTCATAAATCTTTGCCTATCTTGGATGGTTAGCTAAAGGTAAAACATCTATGCTAAAGGTAAATATTTGTTTACAAAGTCCATAAATCTTGGTAATCTTGGCTGGTAAGCTGAAGGTAATGCTAAAGGTAAATAGCTTCTATTATACAACTTCCAGGTGGAGTAGACTTTCAGGATGTCTTGATAACAACGAGTTTGCTGGGAACAGTGGACATAGTCAACGTGAACAGCCGTGTTGTGAGAAAGACAGATGTTGATCAGATACTGAGTGGCTTTTATTTCTTGTCCAATGCCAACTACGCTGGGGTGAGCGAGATTAATTCATGGTGAAATCGAAATAATAGAAACTTTATATAGATTTGCAATATTTAGTGATATATCTGCTATACTGATATAATGATATCTGTGCAGGACATTACAGTGAATGGCTTGATCGATGATGTGAGAGTAGAGACGTTGAATGCCACCTACGTGAGTGTGACTCAATCACAGAACATTGAAGGAGTCGTCACATTCACTGATGTCGTTGCTGGATATCTCAATCTAGGCACTCTCGGTGTTGGAGGTATAGTCCTAATTGATCTCACAGCTACATTATATATTTAGATGATGTAATTAATTTTAGATGATGTATATTGTCATCTTGATGCTAAAATTATGAAAGGTTATGGCTACAAACGCTACCTGTTAACAGTGCCTTTTAATAAATTTTGCTTTGCAGGTCTTGTGGATGGTGTGAACATCACAGATTTCGACATGACTGTGATGAGAATTGTAGGTGATCAAACCATAACTGGCAGTCATACGTATACAGGTCCCACAGTTCTTGAAGGTAATTAGCTTAATGAAATTATATCTTGTGTATAATGTATTCTATCATTTGTTTGGTGGTCGTTTTGCACTCACCAACTGGTTACTTGTATGTTATAGCTGACCTGGTGGTAGGTGGCCTCGTGGATGGGGTAGATGTGGCCAACAATACTGCGCAACATGGAGCGGACAACGTCTTCACTGGCACGAAAACATTTAGCCACACAGATGGCTTCAATGCGGCAGGAAATGTGACATTTGACGATGGTATGTTAGTTTGTCAAAGATGGTTAGATTGACAAACATTGATGCATCTCTAATGATTCTATTGATTAATGCAGATAAGTGACAGCAAATAAGTCTGTGGTATGGTTGCAGGAAAAACTGTGCACGGTGTTGATGTGTCACAGTGGGAAGATGATGGAGTAAATATGAACGTGGATACGACCATAGGAGGCGCCAAGACCTTCACTGCTGATACTGTCACATTCAGTAATAATATACAGTAAGTGTGCACCTATAACCCACAAAGCTCCTCGTAAAAGTCTTGATTATGATCATTTCAGTTGTTCAATTTGTACCATTTCATTCCAGAGCGGATGACATCGTAGATGGTTATATGGTAGATGCAGCCACCTTGTTAATGCTGTCAGGCGATCAAGATATCACAGGCTTGTATACATTCTCCACTCTGGTGACGGCTACAGAACTCCAGGTTTGTTGTTACGATTAAAGATTGTTGATAGGATTCAAAGCAAAGCAAAGCTTCTAGATGTAACTGATGTCCTTTGTTTATATGCACAGGTAGCGGGCACCGTTGATGGCATGAATGTAACTTATGTCGGAGAGATGGCCCTGCTAAGCAACAAGAACGGCACTCTGCAGACATTACTAGAAGAAGTGACGTTCAGCAGCGCACCACTATTCAACAATACACAGATGAATGAACTACTAAATGGTGTAGACATCACAAGTGATGTCCAAATGATCCTGTACGTATATACACATCGTTTTACAGCAGTTATACTAGTTATTTTTAACTCATTCAAACCGCATATCTGTGTAGTGTATGCTCCTGGTGTTTACACAGCAATGATTCTTCTTTATACAGAGATGACTACAAAATTTCCATCATCAGAGACAGTCTACACAACCAGTGCGATGCCCTTACAGACATGTCCGGAGCTCTGAATGGTAAGGAAAAGATGCACGCGTGTGGCATGCTTGTGTGTGTGTGGATCTGTAGCGATTGCATTGCCAAGTGAGACGTTGCTTGTGAGTTTATTTAAGACACGCTGTGCTGGTCATGTAAAAGAGCCATTTAAAGAGCCATTTTGAATGACCTGTATTCGGTATTTACCTCTATTGCAGAAACTGCCATGCTGCTCAAAAACGTAAAGGAATTTTCTAGCTATGAAGAAACCCTTAACGCTTTCACACCGTTCGTGATGAGTGGAGACCAGTACATCGCAATGGCTGTCAAGAGCAAGACCTGTGTAGAATCAAAGATTCTGAAGTATAACACCATCAACAACACCTTTGACGTGTTTGGTGTAAGTATGCATATTACTGGATGTTCGTGACTTAATAAGTGCAATGGCTGTGCGGTACACGTGCTACGTAATACGTGCTCCTAAAACATGTGTACTTTTGTCTGCAGAGTCTATCAACTGTGGGAGCAGAACACATGGATCATTTTGAGTTCGAGGGCAATCACTATCTCGCTGTCGCTTTCAGCGTGGAATACCTGGACTCCCTCCCTTGCTATGCCAAGCAGAGCACATTTGGAGGCGAGTCACAAGCACCACTACATTTGTTGCACGTTTGTCTAGGGTTTATTACATACATTATTATTATATTATAATATATTATATTATTATTTACACTTTGTTTTCAGGCGATGCTGCCATATCGTACGTGCAGGTGTATAAATACAATGCCGACACAGAAACATTTGACCTGTGGCAGAGCCTGGCTGCTACCATACCTCTTGGTCTGAAGGCATTCTCATGGAATGGGAAGCAGGTAAAGAAACGTGTGAATTAAAGGAGTCATAAAAGGAGTTTTAAAGGATTTATGCAAACAATAAAAACAATAATTTTGTTTTGCAGTGCTTGGCTGTTGCAAATAACTTTCATCCAATCGATATGACTACCGTCATTCCTTCTAAACTATACTGCATGACGGACGATGCTGGAAAGTTCAACGAAACGTGGGATCTTGAAACCTATGGCGCAGTTAGGGTATGTCAAACAACCATTCTCATGTGTAGTAGAGACTCAGTAGATCAGCAGATTCACCAAGTGTTTGTCATCTTCATTTGTGCATGCAACTTTCCTTCAGGTGGATGCAACATCTATCGATGGAGTACTACATATCGCATTTGCAAACCAGTATCACTCGAGCGTGGGCTACCAGACGCGAAGCATTGTCTACTACTGGAACAACACAAACGACACTTTTGACGTAAGTGGTGAGATGAGCATATTAGGTTGATTAGAATCGTTCGAATCGAATCGTGTTTGCTCTCAGCCGGGAGAATAACTGTCCATTCTTTACCTGCAGAAACACTTGCTCCCGACCATCAGATGTGTGGACGCAGTGTTTGTGACGACATCGACATCTGACGTTCTGCTTGTGCTTGCCAACGCCCAGTCTGGCATGCTCGGAGTCAGCGCCCAAACGGATGTATACCAGTATGTAGCCCTACAACTAGATCTCAGTACAAAGATAATACTAGATATTGTACAAAGATTGTACAAAGATATTGTACAAAGATTGTACAAAGATATTGTACAAAGATTGTACAAAGATATTGTACAAAGATATTTGTACACAGATATTATATGATCGGATGTTCAGTATAACAGTAAGTACACAACGTGGCTGGTGTTTTCAGGTATGATGGCTCGGCAATGATGCCTTGGGTACTGAGCCAGACGCTCGAAGTTCCCAGTGCTGTGGACTTGGAAGTGGTAAGTGCTTAAATTGACTACATCAAACGGAATAGCAATAATGCACAAAATGTATACTATACTACTACTATGTCTACTACTGTGTACTATGTACTATGTTTACTATTTATGGTGACGTAATCACTTTAACCTTGTTTATCAATGCTTTTGCAATGACTCTCTGATAATTGATTATCAATAATACGCTTAACACCAAGTCACTCTTCTCTTTCCAGGCGGATCTGATGGACGGAGGGAGATATCTGTTTGCTGTGAACGGGGAGACCATGCAGTCGATCACTGTGTATAAGCTAGGTGGCTCCGCATTTTTCCTGGATAGTATGACACTGAGAGTCAACTACAGTGAGTAGTCTTGGAAAACCAAATGGAACGTTTTCTAATTAACACAATATTCCATTTACACTCTGCTGTGTTCACTGCAAATATTGCAAAACTCTATATTCTTTATGTAGAATGTGTGGAGGTCTCTGTATTCACGATCCCTGACCTGGCAAGTTTCGTTGCCGTAGCAGTAGATGGAGACTTCAACGAAAACCTGTTCATCACTATGAGCTCCGATATTCTAAAGGTTGAGACTGAAGGCAAGTAACATATTGTTTAGATATATGCCATGGACATACATACATTTCCTTGCTATTATACGTCCCAGCCGGATACATACGTATCCCTTCAACACTGTTTTTTAATTTTCCTTATTTTATTTTTATTTTAATGCTGCTTTTCTTTTCTTTAGGTAAGGCAATTGATTCAAGTTCGTGCCAGGGCTACGATCCTCTGGAAGAACTGGACAACTGCTGTTAATTCCTTACTGGCTCCATAAGCGATCGTCACTAACCACCTTGTATGACTGATATTATCAAGAGCATATAAGCTTCTTTATACGCTCTTGATATTATATGACTATACATTTACTTGTTATGCAGCAACCATTATGAGTTTGCCAGTATTTATGAAAAATTGTTGTTTATGTATGATTATTGATTATTGATTGTGATTTTGTGACGCATTTGTACTCCAGGCTTAAATAATTGGCTGTTCGCCACTGAAAATCGAGGTCATGTCAGTACTTCTTGGGGCTCTTCATATAGGCTGTATATTACCATGATACCATACCATAACCATTGTACAAAGCTGGGCACTCCCCTTCCTTTCTTTTCCTTTAGGTAAGGCAATTGATTCAAGTTCGTGCCCAGCCTACGAGCCTCTGGAAGAACTGGACAACTGCTGCTAATTCGTTACTCGCTCCATAAGCGATCGTCACTAACCACCTTATATGACTGAAAAAGGCCTGACCTTATTTATGAAAAATGTGATTGTTGTTTATGTATTTTTTGTTAATAAATGTTTTCCGTTATATTTGATTATTGATTATTGATTGTGATTTTGTGACGCATTTGTACTCCAGGCTGTTAGCCATTGAAAATCGAGGTGATGTCAGTACTCCTTAGGGCTCTTCATAGGCTGAATATTACCATGATACAAAGCTGAGCACTCCCCTATGATATCATATCCTCCATCATTATGATAATTGAAAGCTGGACATGGATATACTGTAGCTTGACACTGTCATCACAGGGTAGCGGGACATGACTATGCATTGAAAGCTGGACACTGTCCATCACAGGCAGGGTAAAGGAACATGCATTACTACGATCATACAGGGAAACAGGACATGGAATTGTGCATTGAAACCTGGACACTGGTGCATCATCGTGTAGGGGATAGGACAGGTGGATTAGCACTAGCTAGGGCTGAGAGGGTCTATGTCCCCCGGGGTACTGCCGGAACGTACCCTGGTACTATATTATATGCCGGACCGTACCTCGCCTACTCGACTAACGAGTCTATGGATTTGCCTACGCCTACTCCCTAACCCGAACCCTAACCATATCAAATAGTGACCAGGGTACGTTGCGGTATACCGGACCGTACCCAGGGTACGTTCCGGCAGTATACCCTGGGGGACATAGACGTACCTATGAGCCTAGCTAGGGCGCACAGCAGACGCCTAGGTTCAAATCTGCTGAGCGAAGTTCTGACATGGTGCTGGCCATCCATCAGGCACGCATACAGGGATGCATGGATATTCATCGCCTGACCTAGCTCTAGTACTATAGCCCGCGTGCATTGACTGCCGCAGGCCTGCGGCAGTCAATGCACGCGGGCTATAGTACTAGAGCTACGCCTGTCCCAGCCAGCAGTGCCTCGAGTCGCCACGATCGATTTTATCCATAATCTCTATATACACAATTATCAGCCAGTATTCGCTAACGCTAACATACAAAACGGATACACAGTTTACGTTGGATTCGGGTACAAATGGCAGGGAACATCCGTCAATCATGGAAACCGACTGTAAAGCGATCTACAGAGCGCGGTCTGTGGTACGCTGTACAGGGTGGTAACTACGCAGGATAAACACGTACTGCTGCTGCTGCTCGTGTACTATAGCCAGCCTGCCGCAAGCTCTTACACTTGCAGTGCATACAGATCGAGGGGCGCGTTTTTATTAGCGGCTGACGGAGGAAAACATGTGCGTTTTGTTCAGCACGTAAGAAGTCCGCCCTGTAGACGCGTGCATCATAATACTGCACACACAGCACTATACATCACACCTGCGACCCAACATGTTGCTACGTGTGGATACGGAGAGTGTCGTATAAAGTTCATTGGGATTTTATAGTCTTACTAAAGACATTGGCATGGATTACATTTCTCCACTCTTATCCGCGGCCCAGCCCCGCTATTGCCGTCTTATGATATATCGCACGCGGCGGTTGTTTGTGTAAATCCTCGACGGGAGCATGCGTGACGGATTCATAGCTCATTCAACACACGTGAAATATATATATATATATATATACGCGGCTGAGTACTGCATACACAGCCTGCGGGGTCTTATAATCTTACGACAAGCGCTTCGCTTCGCTTCGCTTCTCTCTCGCTCGCTCAGTCTTACAAACGCTCTTGCTCAGATTTCTGGAATGTAGAACAGATGGGTTGAGGATCTATAGTTGAAGACCACGGTCTAGACGTGCATGATGGCCGAGCCCACTTAATTGCGTCGATCTGTACACAAATTTCGACGGTAGCAGCTATAGTCGGTGTAGCCACAGGCACTTGGGGTGATACTCCATTAGGAGTGTTCCCAACTGTTCCCCAACAATTTCCAAGTGTTCATTAGGAGTGTCATTAATGGTCATATAACAACATATATATATATATATATATATGGTCATGGTCATATATTAGTTTGTGGTTTAATGTCATTTAGGTTAGGGTTAGGATTATCAATCATTCATCATTAATGATATCAAAGTTGGGAACACTCCTAATGGAGCGTTAGCCGGCACTTGGAACGTTTTAATAATAAAAATAATATTATATTATACTCTATATATGTTTATTGTTTGTGCACAGCGGCGGGCGTGCGGTGTACTGGAGTGTTACTGATGAGCATATTTGAACGGCATCTACAGGAAATTATCAATAATAATATATAATCAGCGAAAGAGAACCTGTGGTAATTGTAGCTATAGGATGCAGAGAACGTGATATACGGTGTGCACGTGCGGGGCGAGCCATGAATCTCTATAACAATGAACTAGTACGAAGTAATGACTCTTGCGAGCTATATTATGAAAATCAGCGTTGGAAAATGATAAGTAAACAAGGAGTGTGTACAACAGATAACGTTACACTGGCGGACGTTATAGCTGAGTAAGGATCGAGTGTCAGTAACCGATAACTGGGGGGGGGGGGGCGTTGGACGGTCGAGGCGCGTCCAGCAGCAATGCTCAGCATTACGCTGGCGCGCGATAGTGGTGGCCATAGAAATACTAGTAGGCCTAATCATGCGTACTACCATGGGTTAGTAATAACAAATTGTCATTATTTGGCCCTCCTGGCGCTGCGTACGACTTCTATCGTGTTAACAGCAGCTATAACAGTGCGGCGTTAGCGAATTATGGGGTGAGCGCGTGTACAACAACCGCAAACGCACTCCGGGGACGAACACATATCCACATTTACCTGTTCTCATGTAAATTTTACCTTTACCGAACATTCATGACAGCTGCCGCGCTAAGACAAGACGACAAGTGACAAGACGTGCCGATCAACCCCATCACCCAGAGTTATATCTCATCTTATCTCATTTATCGAATCTACGTACGTGACTAGATGCGCTCTTCGTGTACACTGCGAATGTATACTCGACTCAAGTATAATCGGGTTTTGTACGTGATCTGCATTGAATTAATAACGTTCTAAGGAAGATGACGCGAAAGCCATGACCATATGTAACATATGTCGATCGTATCTCCCCCATCAAGATGCAGCATCTATCGGTATATATTACATGGTTCCCACAAAAGTGTGAATTATTTTTTCAATGACTTTTCAATGATATTTCAAGGACATGTCTGTCTTCTGTGACAAGAAGTTTTAGCTTTTTAGAGTCATCATATATAGCTTAGATTCATATATAAGGTAAAAAATAGTTGTTTTACACGAGTGCCGACAGCAGATTAAACCGCCGCTATAGCTCGCCGAATACCGATGTAGCCTACACAATAGTCGTTTCATATTGTCATTCACGTAGATTCATGTGACTGTCCTGTGACAATATGTAAAGCTTGATGTATCACTCCGAACAGAACTATGTATCACATAATGTACTGTACCATTCAGAAATTTTATTATTTTAAGTGCTCAACACTATCACATTTATCAGATTTCAATATTCAGTACATGTATTTGTAGTTGAATTACATGCAATAAAGATTTAATAATGATAATAAACAGTTGTCGGTTCTTTATTCTGACCTTTCATCTGCTGTTTCAGGCAGTAATAAACGTAATCAGGCAGTGAATAAACGTAATCACTTATTCCCTTACTCCCCTCTCGCGAATGGTATCGCCCACGACCAGTCAAGCATGTAAAATCTTTTGCAGGTAAATGGCCGTATTTCAGCTGAAACTTTTTCACCCCGCGAGGCACAAAATGTGAATTTACGCCTATAATACACGCGCACGCGTGCGTGCGACCATACCCGCGTGTGCGCGTCCGTTAGTGTGTGTGTGTATGTGTGTTTGTGTGACTGTAAAAACGCGTATTATAGCCGTATAATCATAATTTGTGCTTTGGGGGGAGAAAAAGTTGAAGCTGAAAACCAGCCATTTGCCTCGCTAACTTTCACCGTGCTAACGAGGTCGTAGGCGATACCATTTGGGAGAGGGGGGATCACTTATTCCCGAGAGAATATAACCTATATCAGATATAGATAGATAAAAATAGATAGAATACCAGATATTGAATGAAAAGGTATTATTGGTATTTTCTTGGTTTTTCGTGATGGTTGATTCTATATATATGGTTCATTATTACTGCTAGGTACTCGGTACATGGTTCCCACAAGTGTTAATGGTTTTTTCAACAACTTTTCAAGGACTTGGACCTACTTCCAATGACTTTCAATGACAAAAGGAAAAATTAAGGAATTTCAAGGAAGGGCAAAAGATAAAATTCAAGGACTTATTAATTATACGGTTGAAACCTATGCATTCGGATCGAATGGTGTCGTCAAATATGCTTCGTCATTGTTTATTTATCCCAGAGTGGAGATTAGCATAATGCTTTCTTTTTGCATATTCTTATACATCATTCGCAGCTCGACTAGCCTGGGGAACTAACGTGATGTATTTTGATGCATGACCGCGTTTCTTAGAGCTATATCTAGTGTGGTTAGGTGAACACAGAGCAACAATGTCTTATTAGCAATTCTATGAAAATGAGAAAATCTTGATTTTTTTGGTCGAGCGCACCACTCTTGTGCAAGACACTATTCATATTCAATTTTTTCAAGTGCAATGTGTATATTCATATGGTTCGCTTAAGAAATATAAAGCTTACGAAGTGCTGTTACAGACCCCACCAGATGTTACCTAAATATATGATACATATATGATATTGTGCTACCGTTCTAACTCAGTAATTCAAATAAGTCGACACATTTCTTACACCGAACACCAGTTTTTATTGATAAATTCAATGGATAACGTACACGGTAGTAATCCTGAGTCAGGCTAACGTAACTCCTACAGTGGTGATACACTATTAGAGAACGGATTACATGTAAGAAAGGGTTAGGGCACTCGATCTCACGCCCCAAGTGTTATAAACGTGTGATGAAAAATTACAATCATCGATATATAAACAGTAACTAACACTCACACGCATCACAAGTAACTATAATAGCAACGTTCACCCAGTGATTACCAGCAGTTGTCGAAACTGTGTAAGTTCACACGACGTGAACGACGGAACCGTTGCTAGCGAGTGCCACCTCTCACGCGCTATCTCTCTCTCTCTCTCTCGCTCGCTCGCTGGCTCTCTGCTACAGACGCGAGCATCTAGCATGATGGACTATGCTCACAGACTAGTGACCTGAGATATGGATAGGGAAAAACACGCACACAAGAGCTACTCCTTCTGTCGTGGAGGTCCGCAGCCACGCACATTGTCCACGCGCTAGACGAGCCGCTAAAATACACGAGCGTCGACGCCAACAACTAGAAAACACCCCCGCGCCGCACACACGCATGCGCGCACGACCACTGCCGCGAGAAAAAAACAACAACAGGAACTACAAAAACTCGGGCAATAGTTGAAACGTGCACGGACACGGGTGACGTCACGATCGCGCGTGTATAACGGCGTGTTGCGAAGGCTTGGATGCGGGAATACCCCACATGTCCCATTCCCCACACCTCCACCGATAACCAGAACTACGAGTATATAATATGGTTATGTGTGTGCATGTGAGACTCCACGCACAACGACAGGAAAAACCCTCACTCTGTTTCGGAAAACAAATACGATCAAACGATAAAAAAATCAAACATCAACGCACGCCTGATCTTGCACACTGCCATACTGGTCAGGGCAGATTTTTTCTTCGCACCGCCATATTGGTCGGGGCGTATTCGTCTTTGCACCGCCATATTGGCTAGGGCAAATCTTCCTTCACACCGTTACAACTGCCAACAAAGATCACACGCGCAAGAAAAGATCAATGATGCGACGTGGATCGAAGCAGCTAAAAAGCTGGAACCACTTATTTGAAATTTGTGATCACATGCGATATCATACACGCGAAAGGCGAAACACATGCATATGGCACTCACGCGAACCAGGGGTTAATAACGACAAATTTGCCATTATTAACCCCTGACGCAAACAGATATAGCAGCAAGATATAGCAGCCAGAATATCGCAAGCAAGGGTGATCTGGATGGCACTAGTGCTAGCAACAGAAACGTGGGGCATCAGCGGACGTGCTAACCAAACTTCGCATTTTCCTACAGCATTACTACTCACCGTGAGTGACAACAACGTACGACTGCAACTACTATACTACCGCGACGCTACTAACTTGCACTACGAATACTAAACTCGCGAGCATTAACCGATCATTGCTTACCCTCCTTCTACGTGAGAATAACACCTCCCCCCTCACTGCTTTTGCATTTTTTTTATTTATATATATATATATATATGTGCGTGCAGAATCAACTAGAAGCCGAAGCAAGAAGCCTGGCAGGGACACCGGTCTAGTTTAGCATTGCGTGCTCGAGGGGTAGAAATCCTCATATCGCGCGCTCAGCTAGTAGAACCGAGATGAAACAAGTGGCGCCGCGAGGCGCGCGGCAGCCCCCTGCCGTACCCACCACCACCCAACAAAAACACCGCGAGATACAACGAGAGGCTAGCTACAAAGAAAGAACGTATTACCACCCTGCTATGTTTTTTGGGGTGGCAAGCACAATGCACCGCTCGTGGACAGTTTCGCAGGGCAAGCCACCCCTCTGCGCGAGTTGTGAAGCTGGCAGTGTACACTGGATGAAGGTCGCGCAGAGTTCACAGGTATATCATAGCCAGTGTGGGATGCATGCTGCACACCCTCAAACCACCCCTTCCTAGTAACGTGTGCCATCCAGAGGCACACGCGGGCAATATCACAAGCTAGGAAGGTGCGTGAGATGCGTGCAGGCACGCACATCAGACCCGGTTCAACAGTCTCATTTACAAAACACAGGGGCGAGCGTGCCAAATGATTTCACAGCATCGAACCGAAGGCAGTGGATAAGATACTGAAGTACTTCACATCGAATGTACGTTCCCCTAATACGCCACGACACACCTCGACGTAACGGGGGCATCCTTGAGAGATAATCGACAAAAATCGTGGCACGACCGCCCGCATGCGACGCTCTCCGTGTGGACTACTAGAAGTAAAGCGTTATTGCTGCGGTTGCTCAGAAACCGCCGGGGCCGCCGCGCATTGTCCATCCTCTATACAACTGTCCGTGGCGCTAACGACATACAAACGAACGTTCCACGACGACGTACACTATCAATAAAAACCACAGTATCACCTACTAAGTACCTCATAAGGTGTGGTGGGGGAGGGAGAACACACCGGACAGGACATAACACTCTTCTTCGATTGCTGTAAATCTACTATTCCTCTATACCGTAACTAATCCCAGCATTAATTTAGGCTACGGGACCCGCGAAAAATCCTTGCGAATCGCTCCCGAGCCAAAAGCGCAAACGAACATTGCTCATCGTCGTCGTTGTTCCGTCGTCGTCACGGACCTTACACGCGAACATTTGTGCCGCATCTTCGCGTGTAAATCGCCGAGGGTGTGAGGGTGAAACGCATCTAGGGAGCAGCGTCGCTCGCTGAGCTGGCGCGCCTCGGCTTGTCCGCTTCCTCCATCGACATCGTGCGACCTGCAAGCGGAAACGTACACAGGCCAATCAGCACGCATCGTTACCCTTTGTCGCCACGACGACGGTGATGCGCGCTGGGAGTGCCTGTCGGCGGAGATTTCTCGCGGTCGCTAAATCCTTTCAAGTGCTGCCGATCGCTGTACTGACAAGGTTAGTCGATCATGTATTCCTGAGCCGCAGGGAGCAGCAAGCATTATCGCTGCATCCGGTATTGTCTATACTACTACACATCGTCACGTACAGTACTGGCTCTGCAACATCCTCACATCGATTCATTAGAAAATACAAGGAGAAAACCTGTTTAGTTAACTTTGTTTAGGAGAAACCTTTTAAACAATTTTGACCCTCTGTGGTCGTCATTCTTTTTTTTCTGCCACTATCTACTTCATGTACTGGAGAAAGGGTTACAAAACTACTGGGTTGTAAAATGACAGCACTGCGCCTATTGCATCGCTAATACAATGTACCGACAAGGAAAGTAGTTGGAGCAAGAGAGGCGTTGAAGGAGGTTGAGGAAGGACTCAGGGAAAAAAATATAATTTATTTTTCGGGGGCTACTTTTCAAGCTCGCGTGCATGAAAATAGCACTCTAAAATTTGGTTTGCATTGAACTCTATGCAAATTTACGGGGGCTCTTTTTGGCATTTCGGGGGCTAAATCGCCCCGAGCCCCCGTGTATTTTTTTCACTGTAGAGGAGAGTAAGTAGGTAAATAAGTTACGAGTAATGAGCAGAATATAAAGAAGTCAGAGAGCAGAGAAGAACAGCTCGGCAATATCAGCTGGCTATAAGATGGAAGCTTATCGTTTATTTTCCCCTGCCATACGCAGAGTTTATCTTTAACAGTGTGACCTTTAAGATATCTTTAAGATATCTTTAAGATATCTTTAAGATATCTTTAACGACATGATCAATTTTTCTGCCACATGGCTCTGGGGCATTCTCTACTGACCTCTCATGTTGCTGAAGGAGCCAGCGCGCTCCTGGCCAGGCAGCGGTGTCGAGGATAGCATGCCGCATCCCTTAATGAATAACAGGAAGCCATGGGCAACCCTCTCCGGAGCCTCTAGCAATACGTCACCAACTCCCTCGATTCTGAAAAACACACAAACGTCTTTTTATCGGCTGCATCTAGTACCACTTCACAGCACAATTTAGCACAGCACATATCATTATTCGATTACTATCATTATTGATCTATATCTTTATCTGTCACTTTTACAGTTTCAGATCGATATATTCATTTTGTCCATTTTCATATCTATCTTCTCAAACTGCACAATTTTAAATATATTTATTACTGTCTACATTACCATCCATCTAGTCAATTCTGCAATTCCACATACGTCTATTTGTCTCACCATTTCACATCATAAATCTAATCATCTGCATCTATCTATTCGTCTGTCGACATCTATGCAAATATTCATCCCTCCGGTAGAGTTATGCTAATCACCGTCAGCATGATTCATCGATCGCCCGAGGACCATCAGGAGCAATATCGCTTCTGTCCTTGGAAACATTTACACACGCTGCTTCACACAATCCCCAGAGAAAGACGAGCATTTCCCATCGAAACAAGTGGCTGTCGTTGTTCGCATAGCAGCGGGGGGCAACCAAATGGCCCCCAGCTCCCCTAGCTTGCGTCTTTCCCTACCCACGGAACCGCGATCCCGGACTGCAACAGTAAGCGGACCAGCAAAGGAAGACATGCAACAGCAGCAGCAGAAAAATTGCGGGAAAAAATGGGGAACGCTGCTATGATTCACGACAACGACCCCACCCCCCCACCCTACCCCGGGGAACGCTGCTATGATTCACGACAACGACCCCACCCCCACCCTACCCCGGGGAACGCTGCTATGATTCACGACAACGACCCCACCCCACCCTACCCGGGGAACGCTGCTATGATTCACGACAACGACGCCACCCTACCCGGGAACGCTGCTACGACTAACAAC